CAAGGCCAGAATTAGAATGGGGCTAACACCTGAGCATGCCCGTCGGCGGTTCAGAGCCTTAAGGCAGAAACCCGATGTGTCATTTATCCGACATGCCTACCACATTGGGAAAAATTGGGATGTCTGGATATCAGGAGCAAATGTTAAATCTACGGAAGAGTTGCCCTTCCTAATGCAAATGGAGCAGTTTTTAGCGGGTGTTCCTGAGGAAATAGAAAGGTACATCCTAGATGGGAAGCCCAAAACTGTAACCGAGGCAGGGGAGATTGGAGCCAAATGGGTGGAGGTGGCAGAAAAGAAAAAAACTAGTAGCAGTTGGAGCGAATATCAGAAGGGGCAACCCGAAACAAAACCTTACCACCGGGGACAACCCAAGGCCCCACCTACCTCCCAAGGGAAACCCCAGACACCTTCTCACCCCACCACACCAGTGTCCACCAACCAACATCGCCCCGGTGATACCTTAGCAGGGCGATGTTTTAAATGTAATGAACTGGGACATATAAAGGCCCCCTGCCCCAAGAACCCCAACCGATTACAGTTCATTACACCACAATCACACCAAAGATCCCCAGGCCCAGAGGCCTCTCTCATACCCTCGGAGCGAAGGGAAACCTTGAGAGTGGGCGGAAAGAAGGTTATCGCGTGGAGGGACACTGGGGCACAAGTGTCGACTATCCACCAATCCCTAGTGGACCCCAAACTCATCAACCCGGAGGCTCCCTTGACAATTCAACCCTTCATGTCACAGTCTGTAACCTTGCTTACAGCCAAGTTGCATGTCCAGTACAAGGGCTGGTCAGGACCGTGGACTTTTGCAGTCTATGATGATTATCCCATCCCCATGCTGCTGGGGGAAGACTTGGCCAACCATGTGAAGTTAGCCAAGACGGTGGGAATAGTCACCCGCAGCCAGGCTAAGCAAGCTTCCACCCCCATACCTGTTCCTGAGCCGTCCCCCAGGCCCCCATCTGTGTTACCAGAGACCCAGCCAAAGGTGGTGGAACCGGATCCCCTGCCAACGACTGCAACAGCTGTAGTGGATCCAATCCCAGAGACCCAGCCAAAGCCAGTCCCAGAACTGGAACTGGCAACGCAACCACCACCAGAACCATTGCCAGCACTGAGTCCAGCGCTTGCAAACCCGTCTACAACTCCAACGCCAGAGGGCACTAGCGAGCCTGAACTGGCAGAAGCAGCAGATAACCCTACCCAAGAGGCTCAGCCAGAGCCTGAGATACCACATAGTGCACCAGCGGACAGCGGTTCACAGTCAACGGAAACAGCCCCAGCACCTGCATCGCTTCCAGAGGGACCAAGCCCATGTCCACAGTCCAAGGAGGAACTGATGTCTCCAGCATCAAGGGAACAGTTCCAGGCCGAGCAGGAAGCAGATGACAGCCTTCAGAAAGCTTGGGCGGTGGCACGGAGCACCCCACCGCCTCTCAGCTCTTCTAACCGATCCCGGTTTGTGGTAGAACAAGGACTTTTATACAAGGAGACTCTTTCTGGTGGGCACCAGGAAGACTGGCATCCTCAAAGACAGTTGGTAGTTCCCACTAAGTATCGGGTAAAGCTCTTGAGCTTAGCCCATGATCATCCCAGTGGCCATTCTGGGGTGAACAGAACCAAAGACCGGTTGGGGAAGTCCTTCCACTGGGAGGGAATGGGCAAAGACGTTGCTAATTATGTCTGGTCTTGTGAGGTGTGCCAACGAGTGGGAAAACCCCAAGACCAGGTCAAAGCTCCTCTCCAGCCACTACCCATAATTGAGGTCCCATTTCAGCGAGTAGCTGTGGATATTCTGGGTTCATTCCCAAAGAAGACACCCAGAGGAAAGCAGTACATACTGACTTCCATGGATTTTGCTACCCGATGGCCGGAAGCAGTACCCTTAAGCAACACCAGGGCTAAAAGTGTGTGCCAGGCATTAGCAGACATTTTTGCCAGGGTAGGTTGGCCCTCCAACATCCTTACAGATTCGGGAACTAATTTCCTGGCAGGGACCATGAAAAACCTGTGGGAAGCTCATGAGGTGAATCACTTGGTTGCCACCCCTTACCACCATCAAACCAATGGCCTGGTGGAGAGGTTTAATGGAACTTTGGGTGCCATGATACGTAAATTCGTAAATGAACACTCCAATGATTGGGACCTAGTGTTGCAGCAGTTGCTTTTCGCCTACAGGGCTGTACCACATCCCAGTTTAGGGTTTTCACCATTTGAACTTGTGTATGACTGTGAGTTTAAGGGGCCATTACAGTTGGTGAAGCAGCAATGGGAGGGGTTTACACCTTCTCCAGGAACTAACATTCTAGACTTTGTAAGCAACCTACAAAGCACCCTCCGACACTCTTTAGCCCTTGCTAAAGAAAACCTAAAGGATGCTCAGGAAGAGCAAAAGGCCTGGTATGATAAACATTCCCGAGAACGGTCCTTCAAAGTAGGAGACCAAGTCATGGTCTTAAAGGCGCTCCAGGCCCATAAAATGGAAGCGTCGTGGGAAGGATCATTCACGGTCCAGGAGCCCCTATCTCATAGCATCCCCCACCTCCAACATAAAGCCTAAGGTATACCATGTTAATTCTCTTAAGCCCTTTTATTCCAGAGAATTAAAGGCTTCCCAGTTTACAGCCCAGGAAACAGATGACGCGGAGTGGCCTGAAGGTGTCTTCTACGAAGGAAAAAGTAATGGTGGCGTGGAAGAGGTGAACCTCTCCGCGACCCTTGGATGTCTACAGCGGCAGCAGATCAAGGAGCTGTGCACTAGCTTTGCACCAATGTTCTCAGCCACCCCAGGACGGACCGAACGGGCATACCACTCATTGATACAGGTAATGCTCACCCAATTAGAACCCCACCCTACCGGGAGTCACCTCATGCCGAAACTGCTATAAGAAGGGAGATCCAGGACATGCTACAGATGGGTATAATACGCCCCTCTAAGAGTGCATGGGCATCTCCAGTGGTTCTAGTTCCCAAACCAGATGGGGAAATATGCTTTTGCGTGGACTACCGTAAGCTAAATGCTGTAACTCGTCCTGACAACTATCCAATGCCACGCACAGATGAGCTATTGGAGAAATTGGGACATGCCCAATTCATCTCTACCTTAGACTTAACCAAGGGGTACTGGCAAGTACCACTAGATGAACCCGCCAAGGAAAGGTCAGCCTTTGTCACCCAGGCAAGGGTGTATGAATTTAATGTACTCCCTTTCGGGCTGCGAAATGCACCCGCCACCTTCCAAAGACTTGTAGATAGTCTCCTAGCAGGATTGGGAGAATCTGCAGTTGCCTACCTCGATGATGTGGCCATTTTTTCTGATTCATGGGCAGAACACCTGGAGCACCTGGGAAAAGTCTTCGAGCGCATCAGGCAGGCAGGACTAACTGTTAAGGCTAAAAAGTGTCAAATAGGCCAAATCAGAGTGACTTACCTGGGGCACCAGGTGGGTCAAGGAACTATAAATCCCCTACAGGCCAAAGTGGATGCTATCCAAAAGTGGCCGGTTCCAAAGTCAAAGAAACAGGTCCAATCCTTCTTAGGCTTGGCCGGATATTATAGGCAATTTGTACCACACTACAGCCAAATCGCCGCCCCGCTGACAGACCTAACCAGAAAGAAACAGCCAAATGCAGTTCAGTGAACTGATGAGTGTCAAAAGGCCTTTAACCAGCTTAAGGCGACACTCATGTCTGACCCTGTGCTAAGGGCCCCAGACTTTGACAAACCATTCCTAGTAACCACAGATGCATCCGAGCGGGGCGTGGGAGCAGTTTTAATGCAGGAAGGACCGGATCAAGAATTCCATCCTATTGTGTTTCTCAGCAAGAAACTGTCTGAGTGGGAAAGCCACTGGTCAATCAGTGAAAAGGAATGCTACGCCATTGTGTACGCACTGGAAAAACTACACCCATACGTTTGGGGATGGCGTTTCCAACTACAAACAGACCATGCTGTGCTACAGTGGCTTCATACCGCCAAGGTGAATAACAAAAAAACTTCTTCGGTGGAGTTTAGCTCTCCAAGATTTCGATTTTGAAATACAACACATTTCAGGAGCTTCTAACAAAGTGGCTGATGCACTCTCCCGGGAAAGTTTCCCAGAATCAACTGGTTAAACATTGTTCTTGGAATATGGAACATATTGTTAGTTTTTATATAATCAGTAGTATGTCTAAAGGTGCATGTGTCTTATTAACTCTGTTTTCTCCTAGAGCTCCAGGAAGAAATCACAGCCAGTGTGGAACCAGCTGTCCAACACTATCTGTGATTTGGGGGGCGTTTCATAACTATAAAGGGAAGGGTAACAGCCCTCCTGTGTACAGTACTATAAAATCCCTCTTGGCCAGAGACTCCAAAATCCTTTTACCTGTAAAGGGTTAAGAAGCTCAGGTAACCTGGCTGACACCTGACCCAAAGGACCAATAAGGGGACAAGATACTTTCAAATCTTGGTTGGGGGAAGGCTTTTGTTTGTGCTCTTTGTTTTTGGAGGTTGTTCGCTCTTGGGACTGAGAGGGATCAGACATCAATCCAGGCTCTCCAAATCTTTCTGAACAAGTCTCTCATATTTCAAACTTGTAAGTAAACAGCCAAGCAAGGCGTGTTAGTTTTTATCTTTGTTTTCTCAACTTGTAAATGTACCTTTTTGCTAGAGTGTTTATCTCTGTTTGCTGTAACTTTGAACCTAAGGCTAGAGGGGATTCCTCTGAGCTCTTTAAGTTTGATTACCCTGTAAAGTTAGTTTCCATCCTGATTTTACAGAGATGATTTTTACCTTTCTCTGTAATTAAAAGCCTTCTTTTTAAGAACCTGATTGATTTTTCCTTGTTTTTAGATCCAAGGTGGTTGGATCTTGATCCACCAGGAGTTGGTGGAAGAAAGGAGGGGGATGGTTAATTTCTCCTTGTTTTAAGATCCAAGAGGTTTGGATCTGTATTCACCAGGGAATTGGTGAAGAGTCTCTCAAGGCTACCCAGGGAAGGGAATTAGCACTTTGGGAGTGGTGGCAGTGGACCAGATCTAAGCTGGTAGTTAAGCTTAGAAGTTTCATGCAGGCCCCCACATTTGTACCCTAAAGTTCAGAGTGGGGAAGCAGCCTTGACAGCTGCAGTAATGCTTTGCTTCTGAATTCTGCAGCATTGCCCTGAAGACTACTCATGTAAAGTTTCATTCATGAGCAAGTGTATGCAGGCTCAGGGATTAATTTAAAACCGGGCATGGCATGAGCATAGCAAATAGAAAAGAATGGGGGAGAAAGAAAGCAATAGTAACAATAACATGCATAGCATCCTGTTCAGTAGCTAGATCTTTAGAGGATCTCCTGTCATTGCACAGAGCAGAGAATATGCTCTACTATAACATGATAATTTGTGATAAGCAAACCTGTATTTTATGAATACACCATTGGTTTTTATAATATGCTTTACAACTTTACAGAACCTTACTAGCTTCCAAAGTACAAAACGAATACCAATTATTTATTCTTAAACGTAGAGAGCCAAATTTTGATTACCTTGTTGGCCCCCAATTGGCACTGGTAGGAGCGCTCCTATGTTCCAAATCACTCTGAAACCACATGTGCTCTTCATTTGAGGCCAGATCCTCAGCTGACACAAATTGGCATAGTTCCACTGAAATCAATGGCGTTGCACCAATTTACACCTGCTGAAGACGTGGGTCTTTATTTGTAATTAAAATAGGGAGAATACACCTATTTTGGGTACAAAACAATAGTTCTTGCATGAATTTGTCTTACACTGAATTTCCATTACTTCTGTTCTCTTCAGCATAACGAGCTGAGGCCTTTCAAGGCAATATTTCCTATGAAAAAATCTGCAGCCTTGTCAATTATATTTGATTGTTTTCCCTCTTTCGTCAACTGCCACAATTACTCATTATAGTTATGCACATATCAGCATTTTTCTTAAGAACATTTTCTCCACAGTTGAATAACTACAAAATAACCCAGCTCTCTACCACATGCACCCATCTCCGCTCCCTCTCCATTAAGAGAGCAAACATACATTTTTCAAAACAGGACATGAGACGTTCATCAGCTATCTCCTAGCAGCCGCACTTGATGAAATACCAAATCATACAGTCCTCAGTTCAGTATCTGTTTGCTTTGCCAAAGGTAGTTTATTTTAACATTAGAGAACAAAAGAAAACTCTTATTAAATAAATTCAATCTGGAACTGAAACAGAAAAGGTAAGAGGCAGCTGTATTTCAAAATAGAAAAGCAAAAGTTCAGATCATTTTTATTGCTAATGACACAGTCTGACATCACTGTAAGTGGGGAAAAGATTTTGGGTTCAGAAAACAAAAATATAGGAAACAGCTGCCATGACCCACATGGAAAAACTAATTTCCCCTCTGTAATAGTATCTGATTATCATAACGTCCTTCAGATTTGAGGAAAGAGAAAACAACATACTGCATATGATCAAAACATGCTAGTCACTTTGGAGAATAAAAATATGAGAGCTACTGAAGAACAGATGCCCATAATGTTCCAGTAGATTGTACAATGAAGAAAGCTTTCAGCATTATTTATAACCAGTCGCTTTCAATCTATATCTTCCCTTCTGTCCCAACCCTGACCTCCCACACAAGGGGTCACCACAGATCAGACTGAGTTATAGAAAAATGAAAAAATCATTGGAGAATTATATTCATAAATAAAATAATTTCTGTGGCTAGAGTTTAGGATAGGGAGATTGAAATTACAGTTTGTTTATGCAAGTCACTGAAATGGAGAGGTGGTTTTCCTCTTAATTTGGAAACATAGGACTTGATTGAAAGCCTACCAAAGTCAAAGAGAGTTTATTGACTTCAATGAGCACTGGATCAGGCCCATGCCAACAACATAGGATAGCTGCCAAAGGTCACTGTCCTGGATCACTTACTTTCAGGTTTGAAATGCATCCTATGTTTGTGCGGCTGTATATGAAGGGCACAGTTTCCAGACATCTTCTGGAAGTAAAATCGAAATGCACTGGCTAGCATAGTAGCATACATGAGAACAGTTTATGCATCATTTCACAAAACAGAGGGTACAATGAGGCAATGTTCTCATTGTGTACTTTGTGATTACCCTTTGGGGGAAATCAAAGCTAAAACCAGCAAACTAAATCTAGTTACTGTGGATATAGACAAGGACAAGAAAATGCAATAAATGCTGGCCTTTCCCTCAAGGTGCTACTGTTGAAAGTTGATGGTCAAACAGCCACAGCATGCTATGTTATCTGCCTTCAGGAAACCCCATGTGAATGCCCCTATCGCCAGTTGTCTTATAATCTCTGGTTTCAACCTCAAATTACAGTTTGCATGAAAAATATGTAATATCCAATATAGTTGATGTGGAGAGTCTACCATCTACATCTGACTACTGTGGCATCATAAGAATTGGTCAGTTTAAAGTGGCTAATGTCTACAACATCCATAATTAATTATGGCCTGCTTCAGCTCTACCATCACTCCAGCATCCTGCCATCTCTATTCTGGAGATGTCAATAGCCACCTCACCGCATGGGGCTACAGAGAATCTGATCAAAGTGGGATAGACCTTGCAAACTGGGTTGCCCTCAATGAACTCCACCTTCTTCATGACCATAAGCAACCAGCAACTTTTCACTCTGCCTACTGGAACCCAGGATCCTCCCCTGACCTCTGGTGGATCATATCTGCTGGAAATCACCCTCTACCAACCACCTGCAGGGTCCTGGAAAATCACACACACACACACACAACCAAATTTGCCCCATCCTCATCCAAATAGGGGTTACCATACCTAACCTGACCACTACCACCAGGCTACATTGGAACTACAGAAAGGCAAATGGGGACAATTACACTAAGATCATTGACCAATATATAGTCTGTGTCCCTCATAACATCTCAATAGATGAAGCACATTCAGAGTTTACCAAAACATATCTCCTTAGCTTTCTGCCATAGCTTTACCAAAGACAGATCAAATCACTCTTTAGCAGCTAGCTATTGCCTAATATCACTCCTGAGTTGTAGCTACAAACTCCTGGAGTGAATGATCCTATAGAGAATTAAGCCCATGACAGAACAACTTTTGATCAGCGATCAGGCCAGTTTCCAACCAAATCGAAGTATGTGTGATCAAGTGTTAGCATTTATTACATATACTGAGAATGGATTTCAAAAGAAGAAGAAAATTGGAGCTGTCTTTTTTAGACTTATTGCAGCCTATAATACCTCTGGCACATTGGTCTGCTGTACAAGATGTCAAGAGTTTTTCCGAGATAGGTTGTCATGGCAACTGGGCTGATGCTCAGAGGTAAACTTTTCAGGTGGCTCTGAGCCACAAAACCAGCAACTGGAAATTCCAGAAGAATGGACTCCCACAAGGTTCAGTGCTGGCACCAACTTTATTTAATGTATTCACAATCTACCAAACATCATCTCCAAGCAGTTTCGGCTCCTGCCGCATCTGCTGGAACTAACCTCATCCTTTGTTGGGGCCATCAGAGACCCCTCCTCCCTCTGCTGGATTTTCAGATCCCACCCTGGGTTTGCAGAGCTGCAAAAGTCAGAAAAAACAGCTCAAAATGGCAAGCCTTTCAAGTGAAGATACAAGGTATCTGGCCGTGGAGAAATCAGGCCTCAGCAGCTTAGCTGAATGGAGTTTTGCTGGAATTTGAGAGTACCTTGTAGAGATTTTGTGTTGTTGTAAGCAGAAAGCTGGAGATGGAGATGCTGGTTTGCAGTATCCTAGTCCAATTTCTTATTGATCGTCTTCATCCCTTTTTCAAGGATGCATCCATGGCAAGCGAGAATCCTTCCTTCTGCCAAATTCTTTTAAGAGAGTTAAATACTGTAACAAGGGGGAGATGTCAGTCAAGACAGAGAATAATCCATTCAGTCATCAGCAAATGTATTTGGGAATGATTAGAGGATGCAAGTTGGATTTCTACTGCTTGGGGTAGAACCATCACAAATGTCATGGGAAGGGGGAGAAAGGGATAAACAGATGAAAGGTTACTAGAGAAGGGTCAGTATTGGAGCACTTGTTCTGAACTACTCTGGAGTTTTTCAGCAGTCCAAATCTAAATAGGAATCTCATGACTAGGACCTTGAGTCCTTAGAATAATTAGTCCCTGCACTGACACCTCCTGGCACCGGACTGTCAGAACAGCAGAGTAACCTTCTGCCTTGCTTTCTGCAGTTCATCATTCTCACCTGCCTGTTAAATGTATATGAACATGATGGTGGGTAATGATAATAGTTAAGAGTAAAAAAGAATAAGTAGATTTGGAGGGCTCAGCACTCAAACCTCCACCTGCAACCCCACAAACAAACACACCTCAAAAGTTTAGTTTCTGAGTCATTATCTTTCGCTTTTAAATACATTGTATGATTAGAGTGTGTTCAGCTATGGAAAGGATATCATTCACCAGGAGCCTTTCATCACAGTCACTTTTACTGATTTGATTTGCTCTCCCTTGTTATCTGTTAATAAAAGGAAGATTTAAATTAATACTTGGCCAGGTCACTGTAAGCATTTCCTCAGCCCAGCGCTGAGAAGCCTATTTTAGAAGCATACCCAGGGTATGAGGAAAAAATGCCATGCATATCAAAAAACATGCCAAGCAGGTTATCATCTGGCAGCTCTGGTCTGTAGATCTAAAAACCTTAAGAGGTTTTCTTGTGAGGTTTTCATAAAGTACCAGTGGCCAGCGTCATTAATCTTCATCTTCTGTTCTCGACCTTGAGGAGCTTTCATAAAAGCTTAAAAGCAAATGAAAAGTGTTTCGTTCTACAACAAGAGACAGCGTCTTGGTTGTCTGCTAAGCACTTAGATAACAAACCAATAGGAAGCACTGCACACTTAATTTACCCTGCCTTTTAAAAGTGAAATGTTAACCCTTCAACAATTTTTAAATGCATGACCTTAAGCACTCAGTAAACAACATTGGCCTACAGTTATAAAATGCTGTCTTCAGACAGTACTATTCTGCAATCTATTTGTTTTGATCAATGAAAGTGATCTGTGCAGGTACTTCTGTTTTTGACACCACATTTAGCACTTTAAAGCTATGTGCCTCCATTCAGCATGTTCACTGTGGCACAGAAAAAGGTGACTATAAAGACAAACCGATGCATCTTTTTTCTTTCAATAGCTATTGATGAACTTGATGAAATAAAGTGTTTCAGTGAGCATGAGACTCCTTTGGCACTGACTGTCTCAACACAATGGCAAATGGCAACAAGATAAAATGGAAGGACTAAGGGGCAAACATGTGGTGCAGTGGACTATTGCACTCACTTTTCCAGAACAGAGAGAAATCCTAGTCTGCAGGTGAATATAAATTTTGCTGCTATTAGGGCGTGTCTACACTATAGTGGCGCAGCTTCGGCGTTACAGCTATGCCATTATAGCACAATAGTGTAGGCACACCCTACAATGAGGAGAAGGGTTTTTCCCGTCACTGTAGGCAATCCACCTCTGAGTGAAAGTACTAGTCTGATAGAATAATTGTTCCATCAAGCTAGCCCTGTCTACACGGGGGGTTAGGATGGTGTAGCTACGGTGCTCTGGGATGTGAATTTTTCATATCCTGAATGTCATAGCTATGTCAACCTAACTTTTAAGTGTAGACCAGGTCTTAGACGCCTATTTAACAACATCATAACTGCCATGCTAAGGACCTGGGTTCTATTCCCATCTCTGCCAGTTGTGATGTGCATCCTCTCAATTAACTTATTTGTAAAATGGGAGCAGGGGGAAGCAGAGACTAGAGCTGACTTCCAGGATAAGGTATGAGGCCTTATTCAGAAATAAAGGATGTGAAGTGCACAGGCAGAACAACAGTCAGTGAAAGGGATACCAAAATTCCTGGTATCCTGGTTGCCACCTCAGTGCATGTTCCTTAGATTTACATGGTATTGGTGGAAAGAAAATATTTTCTGGCAAGAGGTGTGTGAATACTCAGGTTTGCAAAATTGATCTTCCGTGAGCATTTGTATGGTGAAACTCAAATATCTGAACATTCATGGAGAACACACAAGGGGCACAACCCTGATTTGATCATGAATCTCACAATATTTGGGTTAAAAAAAAAAGTGTTTTCTACATATTCTGATTTCTGCCTTCAATCATGTGAAGTTTTGCCATTATCCAAAATGGCGACTATTTCCAATGATTACACTACTCTACAGCCAAAATACTTCTGAAATAAATGTAGTCAAACTTTACTAATTCTGGGTCACTGAGAATGAAAATGATGCTTAAAATTGTTGATTGGCTCTAGTTTTCAAGATATGCTATTGGGTCAGTATGTACGACCCTTCACTTGGGAATGGCGGAGGATAAGTGAGTTAT